GCCAATGGACAGAAGTACCTCTGGGTTGCTAGCCATACTTCTTGTGAGTGTCGCTTTTTGCAGGTGTATACGAGCGACCGCTGAACTTTGGCGTACAGGGTCGGGATGGGGCAACTTTATGCAGGACATGGTTATGACGGCACACCTGACTCACCGGTCTGGACGAACGTGCATATATTATATATTCCTTTGCAGCCTAACCTAGACTGATGACATTCCTCTAGATATGTCTTTGACGATTATACCTGGGATAAACACGGTCCCCCCTACTCTATGTTTGACGATAAACGATGGATACCCTCGCGTATACCACTATCTGCTGTGATATCCGGTTGGTATCTCTCCGCCTAATGGGTTAGCTCGTTGACTCACCCTCAGTACTAGGTCCTATCGTAGGGGGTCCCTTTGCTGACGACGATACTACCCCGCGAGCCATTGCTAAGGCTCACTGGGAGAAGATCTGCCCTAATCCCATCAAAATCAACGGCGAGGAGGTCCGTGCAATACATGGTTCAGGAGCAGACGCCACCAGGATTGAGGAGGCATGGCTCGAGTACCTCAGCAAGATTGATGATCCATGTGTCGAAGTCCCCGAGAGCTCGGGGAGCATCTTTCACATCTTGTAAGCGTCTCTGTTCGTCCCTGGTCTCGAACGATGATTCAACTAGCGCAGCATGTTTGGCACCAAGGACGAGATGCTTCCCATCTGGCCGTCGCTCTCGACATCGCCGATCATTGCGCTGCTCGGCTGGTCGACGCTAGCGCATCAGGGCTTCGAAGCGAACCGACACCTCTTTTCGCCGGCTACGCTGCAACAACCACACATCTCCGACCCTGCGTGCCCTCACTGCGTCGACCCCTACACCCCACTTGACGGCTTGCTTGCGCTCCACTTACGTCGAGGCGATTTCGTCCAGCACTGTCCGAATCTGTGCTACTGGGGTGCGAATTTCAACGCCTTCAATCGCTTCCCCGAGCTCCCCGACCAGTGGGTCAAGCCGGACGGCCCCACTGAGGAGAGCATGCCTGTCTACATGCGGCGGTGCCTGCCGACGATCGAGCAGATCGTCGAGAAGGTCGAGGAAGTGCGCGCGAGTGCAGCCGGGCGCGGGCTCAGGAACGTCTACGTCATGACGAACGGCGACCACGAGTGGCTCACGGACCTGAAGGCCGCGCTCCGACTCGCACACGTGTGGGAGCATGTCGCGACGAGCCGCGACATGGTGCTCACGCCTGAGGAGAAGCACGTCTCGCAGGCGATGGACATGCTCATCGGGGAGCGTGCACAGATGTTCGTGGGCAACGGCGTGCGTCCTCATCTATCCCAACTATCTGTTCGCGCTTAGAGCTGACGTGTCCGGTCGTGGGCAGTTCTCAAGCATGACATCGAACATCGCGATGCTGCGCGTGGCTCGGAGGCTTGATCCAGACACGACCAGGATGTGGTAGGCTCGATGGGAGGCACGGCCGTCGGACCCCATGCTGCCGTAAGGCGCACGCCGTGCGCATATAGTCCGACACGGCCAGCTCACGCGTGCCAAGCCACGGGGATGAGTAGCCGTTCGCAAGGAAGACGGGCCCCGTGGACAACAAGTGCGGCGCTCATCCCGGCCGCGTGTGAGCATGCCAGGCGGCTCGCTGGGCTTTGTGACAAGGACATCTCGGTGAGTTTGGTCAATGTGTATGTCTGCACCTGGCTGCCACTGTATGGGTCGTCTGTGAAGGTTCCTTGTTGCGATGTTGTATGGCAGTCTGGGTTTTGCAGTAGGCTGAATGTCTTAGCCTATCCGAGTTCAAAATTGATGTAAGTTCGAACTTTGAAGTTTGTCTGTCAGCTTCTCCCGTCTAGTATCAAACCTTATGACCTACGATATTGAGCCCGCCCCACACCGCCCGACAACTGCAAATATTCTTCACAGTGATATGCCAGAGTTCGATCCTGATTATGATACCTATCATGAAGAGGACAGGTCCTCAGAGCTGTGGATATGACATGGCACTGGCAGCATTCGCATCGCCAAAAAGCCAGCGCTTCGCGTTATTAGGTTTACTACCGCGTTGTTCGTCCCCGGATGGGGATCAAGGCCTGATAGAAACACCTTGGCGTCACATTCAGTTAGTACAGAAGTGCGGGATTGGTGCGTTGGAGAGTCGTTTAGGACGTTGACGCTGCTAATATTGAGTAAAGATATTGGCCCATGCTGTCAACTTCCCCACGACTCTTCGGCCCATCATCAACGTCGAAGTCGAGTTTATGTCGGCTCAGCTTGTTGCCGCAATTCACGTTGTTCGGCCGTGACATGTCAGCGCCATTGCTAGTCTCGTTCCCGTCCACTCTTGACTCCGACGCGCAAGCACCGTCGGCCAATGCATCGGACTCTGAAACCAAAGTGCGCACCGCACATCGACTTTAATGTCCGATGCAGTCTCCGACTGGCGAAGTCCGGGCGCGCTAGAATGGCTGGCGACGAGACATTAATGTGCGCCAGAGAGAAAGCGATATCGCACTGCCGCAAACTGAAGAGCTTGACGCCGTCAGATCCCTGCTGCGACAGCAAGATTACGGAAGGTCAAAAGCCCTGCGAATGTGTACTGCGCAAGATCCCTCCTTTCCCCCGTCTTGTGTTTCGGTTCCTGCTCATACACTGGCCCCAGCATGCCCGGCGACGACTATGACCTCCTGCCCTCGTCCGAAAAGGGTGCAAGGAAGCAAATCCCGTTCTCTTTGCGTGCTTCACGCTTCCTCAAGCTACGCCGGGCGACTGCGATACTTGTAGCGACGGTCGCGAGTGTCATCCTTGTCGGTTTCTACTTGGTTAGGTTTAGGGGCACGGACATGTCACAGGAGATTCCGGAGCCAGAACCTGTACCGGAACCGCTCCCGCCTTTGTATCCGGAGTATCATCGCGCAGAACTCG